ATTGGCACAGGACAGAGCAGGGTTTAGGGCTTGTACATAGGGTTGCTATGAGTTGCCACCTAACAGTAATTTCTGTATCAGGAGAAAAAACAAATTGCTATTTAGTATTTACTTTTTTTTTTTAAATGGTTACTATAAACAGCCAATTAACATTTTTTTTAAGTTCATATAAGTGTTTACAGGATTTGTCTTTTCCAGGAACACCATTCATGGGAGACTGAGATTTCTGAACAGAAATTAAAGCTTGGCAAGAAAAGGCAAAGACATTATGTTCAAGGTGCTGGAAATTTCCCAAGAAGAGAAGATGGTGAAGGCTGAGGTGACTTGAGCTTTGTTTTATGCTTCACTGATATCCTACTGCCGTGGTGAATGTGTTAGAACATGCAGATTATCTTGAAAGTTGAAAAAAGTATAAGAGCAGTGATGTCAGTCTGGAGACTAAGGTGCACCTGGTACAGCCCATGGTGTTTGCAGTTACTTGCTATACGTCAATCAGAGAGCTGGACAGTGACTAAGGACGAAAGAAAAAGAATCGATACCTTTGCATTGTGCTGCTGGAGAAGAATGTTGAACATACTGTGGACTGCCAGGAGAACAAACAGGTGAGTCTTGATGAGGGTGAAACCAAAATACTCCCTAGAGGCAAGGATTTTGAAGCTTTGGTCTCAGATAGCTTGGTCATGTGGGCAGGTGGGACCATTCTTTGGAGAATACTGGTGGAAGGATGGCACAGGAGAGGGAAACCCAAGATGAGATTAATTGACTCAGTGACTGGAGAAGTGGGATTGGGTCTGTCAGGGACGATGAGGTTGGCTCAGGATAGGGTGCGGTTCAGAGCTGCTGTATATAGGTTCATTATAAGTCACAGGTAACTTGATGATACTTAACAACAGAAAAAAAGAAACAAACTTTAATGGTCAAGTGTTGATCTTCCAACTTAAAAGCAAATAATTTGTGTTTGGTTTTTTTTTTTATTTATTTTATTCTATTATTTTTGTGTGAGTGTACCGTCAAATCAGATCTGACTGGTACAGGAGGAGATGGTCCCTCTTTCCCCGGCAGAGCATCTGGTGGATTCGAACCGTGCGCCTCTGGGATTGTAGTTGCAGCTCCTTGCCACTAGGCCACCAGAGCTTCCCAAGGCAAGTAATTTAAATCAGACAGCTACTCCTCCAGAAAAAAGATGAGCAGTCTTTCCCCAAATGGTTTAGAGATCTCTGGCAGCCAGGTGGTAAGAAGCTGGCCTGTAATCCCAGAAGGGAAGAGGTCTGAATTCACCAGCTACTCCACCAGACAAGCAAGGACGCATCTCTTCTAGTACATTTATTTATTTAGCCTCCAAATACCTGCTGGATTGGATAGTCTGTTATGGGTTGTTCCAACTTGCCATCACACAACAACAGAATCATTTGAGCTTCTTTAGCTGTGGTTAAAATTGTGTCTTGGGGAGCTCTGGTGGCCTAGTGGCAAGAAGCTGCACTGCAATCCCAGAAGTACACAGTTCGAATCCACAGGATGCTCTGCCTGAGAAGGAGCGGCAATCTCCTCCTGTACCAGTCAGGTCTGATTTGACGGTACACACACAAATAAAAAAAATTAAAATAAAAAAAAAATTGTGTCTGACACAATTGGCAGGTTTGAGTAGGTGTCAGAAAGAATCAGCATCAGCTCAAGGCTAATTCCTATGAGGTAGAGGTTAGGAAAAACCTTCTGTCTCCAACCTTGTTACCAGTTCCGACATCAGCCATCTCTCTCCCTTCAGTCTCTCCTGCCTGTGTTCTTTGATTAAACAATTTGAGAGCTTTTTCTGAGAGATTCTGAAGACTTAACCTGGGTCCCTCCCTACAACCCTAGTATGTTTGTAACTTTCTTCTGGATGAGTTGACATTTCTTAGAGAACTACCAAGGAATTTGGTTTTATACTTTAAAACTCGTTGGAGCTGTGGGCCACCCTGTGATTTCTGTGCATGTTGTAGAGCTTGTGCATGTGACTAAGAAAATGAATTGTGTGCCAACCAGGTCTGCTCTGCAAGTTCAGTGTTGAAAACCAGCTGGAGGAGATGATTCATTTCCATGTCTTGAAATTGGAAAAGGGTTTGTGTCTAGAGGCAGCTAACACCACAGAGATTTGAGCCACAGAGGGGAAGAAAGAGAAAGAAGGCGAGGAACCTCTTCTAAGTGGTGTCACTAGGAGATGTCTGGGGACTCTGCAGCGGAACCAGTGACATCAGGCGTACAGGGGCCCATGGGGAGAGTTGATGGCTCCAGTCACAGAAGAGGCCAGTGGCAGAGCTGGTGACCGCCAAGATCTACTCTGTTCCTTAGTAAACCATTTGTAAATTTAAGGAGGTTCTGGGTGTTTTGCATGGTCATAATAATGGATTAACAAATTTATAAAAGTAGAGAGATCTGTAATGGGACAGCCGTGTCGGTATTGACAAAAAATTGTAGCTGGAGGCAGATCCCGAAGTCTTTGAAGTTAGACATATTCTAACAGAGCTACTGCTAACTGCCATTCTACCTATTCCCTTTTCACTATAATGGGAGGTAACATGCTTCTTAATGGTGGTTAAATGTAGATTTGTGGAATGTTGTGTGTGTCTATGATGTGAAAAGTGTCTAGATTCTGAGGATAACGTTAATGTTGGGCATTTGAGAACATTCTCATGTTACGAATGGCTTTATGATTTATTGAATGTCTGATTTCAAACTAGTGTTTAAAATCTTCTGGTTTAGAAAAGGCTGTGGTACTACGGATATTATAGCTAACGTTAGTTGGATATTAGCTGAAAGCACAGGGTACCAGAGAAATGTCTGTCTCTGTTTCATTGACTACGCAGAGGCATTTGACGGTTTGAATCACAACAAACAGTAGGTAACTCTGAGAAGATTGGGAATCCCAGAGCATTTGATTCTGCTAATTGAAACCTATACTTGGACCAGGAGGCAGTCGTCAGAACAGAGCAAAGAAACACTGCATGGTTCAAAGTCGGCAAGGGTGTATGCCAGGGATATGTCCTATCTCCATACCTTCTCAATCGATATACAGATCATCTGGAGACTAAACTCTATGAGGAGGAAGGTGGCATCAGCATTGGAGGAAGACTTACCGACAACCTGTGTTACGCAGGTGACACAACCTTACTGGAACTGAGGAGGAGCTGAAGAGCTTCCTGAAGAAAGTCAAGGTTTGGAGCCTTCAATATGGATTGAAGTGTTGCAACATTAAAATTAAGGTAGATGGTGAAGTGATTGAGAATTTTAACATCTTAAATTTGCTTGACTCCACAATCCACTCTTGGTACTAGCAGCCATGAAATCAAAAGATGAATCACATTGGGAAAGTCTCTTGTCAGGACCTCTCCAGAGTACTGAAGAGCGACAATATCTGTCTGGAGACTTAAGGTGCACCTCATCTAGGCCATACTTTTTGCAGTTGCTTGCAATGCGTCAGAAGGCTGGACAGTGACTAGGGATGATAGAGAATTGACGCCTTTGAGCTTTGGTGCTGGTGAAGAGTATTGAATATACCATGGACTACCAGTATAATAAAAAGGTTCATCCTGAAGAGGGTGAGACCAGGCTGCTCCTTGGAGACAAGGATTCTGAAGCTTCATCTGACATACTTTGGACATGTTACAAGGAGGAACCTGTCCTTGGAGAGGGACATCATGCTTGGGAGGGTGGAGGGACAGCACAGGAGGGGAAGACCCTGGATGAGATGGATTGATTCAGTGACTGGGGTAATGAGGGTTGGTGTTTTCAGAGATAATATGGTTGGCACAGGATAGAGCAGGTTTCAAGGCTATTGTACATAGGGTGGCTTTGAGTCACAAGCAACTCACTGGCACATAACAGCAAAAACAACATCTAAAAATAAAGGAAGTTATGTCTATAGACGTGACAGTCTATATTGAGAAAGTAAACTTCACAGCTTCCTTCATGTTTCAGTCATATCAGTAGTGGAAAATACTTCATTAACTAGGGTCCTCTTATTCTTACAGGAAGCACTGACATTCAGCCATGTGGCTGTGAAGTTCACTGGGGAAGAATGGGAGCTTCTGGACTCTGGTCAGAAGGCCCTGTACCAGGATGTGATGTTGGAGAACTACAGAAACCTGGTGTCCGTTGGTGAGGATACCTCTCCAGGCATTGGCCTTCCCTCTCCTGGTTCTCAGTTAGTGAGTATCATCGCTCAACTCCTAACAGATAACCCTTTATTTTGTACTGTTGAACATTTTCTTCTACCATTAATACATCCTTCCTAAAACTATCCCCAATCTGATGGGTCTTAAGCTTGTCTACTCTTGGATAAACAGGATATCAATGTAGTATAGTATACACAAGGTGCTCTCCAGGTTGGAAGGAGGTGAACAACCATGGATTAAGTTACCTGAACACCACAGTGTAAAGCTTTTCAGATGAGTGGAAGAGTAGCAGTTGGAGGAGAAGGCTCTGTACTTCTCACTCAGGTAAAAGAAGACATCACATCTGTGTGGATGTTTAAGAATAAATCTGAATACCTCTTCATAGCCCTCCTCCCTGTGGGACCTTTTCCTTCCTATGACTTAAGAAAAATACACTCTCTAATTTCTGGGGTCATACCTGTTTATATGTCAACAGTGTTGTATTTTTTTAAAAAATTAATTTTGATGAAAGTTTACAGAGACTTAGGGTTTCCATTCATTCATTGTTGCACTTTTCTCCGTGTCCTCCCCCAGTCCCTCTCATTCACTATTCTCCTTAAAAAGTAAAAGGAAAACTTCATTTTTACACATTTGCTCCTGTCAAGTCCACTCCACTGTGCAGCCTTCACTCTGGACTCCTGTCATGACAATAATACCCCATGATATATCCCTTTTAAACAGTTCTCTCCCTCATCTGTTTCACTGCAGTATACATCATTCCTCTCCTCCTTCTCTGTCTTCCCTCAACCCTGATGTCAGTCCCATTTTACATACAGTGTCGTATTTTTGGCTTCACCGTTTGTGTTCTTTCTAGGATTAGTAAATCTTGTCCTTCCTCGTAGCCTTTCTCCTCTATAATACAATTTTACCTTTTGAATTTCTGTCCATCAAGAGATCCTTACCTGTCCTCCGAGTTCAGCACTTTCTTCCACTTTTGAGGAGCATCGATTTTCCTTTCTTGCATGCAAACCAAGGAGCCGAGATGACTCAGTTCATTATTCATCAGACTGACACCCTAAAAATCAGCAGTTTAAACCCACAGATGCTTCAGAGAAGAAAGCAGCATTGTCTCTTTCCATAACCCTTTACAGCCTCAGAAAATTGGTTGAGGTTTTCCTGAGTAAAAACCACCTTCAGGTGGCCTAGTGGCAAGAAGCTGCAACTACAATCCCAGAGATGCAGGGTTTGAATCCACCAGATGCTCTGCTGGGGAAGGAGGGACCATCTCCTCCTGTACCAGTCAGATCTGATTTGACGGTACACGCACAGAAAATAATAAAATAAAATAAAAAATTAAAAATAACGAAAAAACCACCTTCAATGTAGTTAGTCTGGTTTGACACTGTTGGCTTCACGGGCTGTTGGCTCCTATAGTCAAGTGGTCTCTCCCTGTGCTTTCTTCTTCTTTAGCTTCTCTTTTGACCTGTGCTGAGGTTCTCTAAAGGTTCTGATTCCAATAAGTCAAGGGCTAGTGGTAACTTACTCCGTGCTTGCTTTTGCTGAGTACTTTTCCCTATAAACTCCTTTAAATTTGTTTGTATTTTTTTAAAAAATTCATTTGTTTTCCCACTTGTTCTTCTAAGTCTTAATATTTTTCTTCATACTGATTAGTCATGCATGTTATTTATATGTATTTCATTAAGACACTAGTGAATAAATGCATCTGTCATGAACCAGTTAAAATTATCAACCCACAGCATCTGAGATTTGTCTGCGCCACAAACCGTCTTGTGTTTTACATTCTTTAGAGGGAGCATTAGTGGCCTAATGTGTAAGGAATTGTGCTTCCGTCTCAAAGGCAAGTGATTCGAGTGTACCAGCTCTTTCACAGGAGAAAGATGGACAGTTTTCCTACCTTGTGACTCACCATGTCTGCAAGCCCACTAGAGGGTCACTAGCTGTGAGTCAGTTCTAACTCACTGACAATGAATCCTATTTTATTTTCTTTTTTAAATTATTTTTTGTGTGTGTACCTTCAAATCAGGTCTGACTGGTACAGGAGGAGATTGTCTCTCCTTCCCCGGCAGAGCATCTGGTGGATTCGAACCGCGTACTTCTGGGATTGTAGTGCAGCTTCTTGCCACTAGGCCAGATTGTCCCTCCTTCCCCAGCAGAGCATCTGGTGGATGCGAACCGCGTACTTCTGGGATTGTAGTGCAGCTTCTTGCCACTAGGCCACCATAGCGCCCTTTCATAAATATTCTTTAATCATTTTTTTTTTTAATTTCAGAGGACGTTTAGAAGTCATAGTGGGTTTTTCATGCATACACCATTCATTTTATAACATTGTAATTACTATTTAACTCCATCTTCC